CTGATGCACCTCTCCTGTTGTGTCAGACTACAATTCCCATAACCCCCAGAAGTGCCCAACACATCTGGAGGAGTACTAAGTTGGGCAAGCCTGCCTTTGTTTGATACATCAAGCACGCCTACACGGTTATCCCCTTAGGTATCGCAAATGTTCTTCATTCTGTTTCTCCTACTACTTCCAGGTTGAAAACAAACTGTACTTGGTATATTCCCGATACTCTGGACTAGTCTTACTGGCTGAGGATGATGGGAGCTGTAGTCCAGCACATCAAGTTGCAGAAGGCTGCCATATGCCAATGTACTGGTGCAACTTAAAGTTTCTTTTAGGGAGCATTTCTCAAACTTGTTCTTAACTCAGACCAACACACTAAGGTTAGCTTGCTCACCCTGCCTCCTGTACTACCAGCTCAACACAAGTTATCATCTGCCAGCCAAGCTGGTTCTGTACATACAGAATAAGGTGATGGCTCACTTAGGTCACAATACTTCAGACTCGCCCATGTATTAAAAGGAAAACCCAGTACCTCAGTTTTCTGCCCCTTCATTCTGCATGGATGCACAGAGCAAGTCTGAAGAGAAGGAAACTCTCGTGTGCCACGGATCCATGCATTCTGCTCTTGCCCACAAGGAACGATGGCTCAAGGTGCCACACAAGATAAAAAGGGAGCACTCACTTCAGCTGAGCTCTCTCACTCAGAGTGATGAAGCCAGCCCTTCCCAACCAGATGCCCTCCATCCAGGAGTTTTGGCCTGCAGCTCCTGACCTGCTGACTAGGATTGATGGGAGCTGAAGTCAAAAGCACCTACAAGCAGCACACTGGGGAAGGCTGTGGAAGGAGATGCCCTTGCTCCTCTGCTTTGTCTTGGATAGTTGAGCAGAAAACCGTGAACCTGGGGGTTGCCATTGCTGCCTCTTTTTTTTTTTTTTTTTTTTTGAAGAGGCGGCTCAGAGCCATCCACATTCTCTCCAAAAGTCTCAAGTATGCCAGGCCAAAGCTCCAAGCTCTGGGCTGTTTAAGCACAGGCATGGAAGCTCCATGCAAATCCAAAATTTGCTGTGTTGCTCTTCTCTGAATATGGTGGCTGATGTTACAGCCAATTTGCTTCTTTGCAAATATCTCTGTGCATAGATTTAAGGACAGGCCAGACTCACAACTAAGGGTCCTCCTTGAATGTCCAAGAGGATTGCCTCCTTTGAGGTGCCCATCCCATCCAAAAGGAAGGTGAAGATGAAGATGTCTCCAAGACAGATAACTTCCCTTCCATTCATTGCTTTCAAACAACAAAGCTGTGGAAAAAGAGAGCATCCAGTAGCTGCTCCTTCCTTTACAGAATCAACTTGGAAGAACCAAAAGGAACCCAATCCAACCTTCTGCCCAGGTTGTAGTGCCATCCTCTTTCAATAAGAATCAAGTTACACTCCAGACCAGCATCTCCCAAATTTGGGCTCTTAGATATTATGAACCACAATTTCATAATATCTAACCATTAACTGATGATGTTGGGAGCTTCAGTCCAACATTAACTGAAAATGTTGAGAGCTTCAGTCCAACATCTGACTGGGAAAGGTTGCCTTCTAGATAGGAACCTGTGACCTTACAGAAGTGCAATTGCCATCAGCCTGGACAGTCCAGCCAATGGTCAGGGATGATGACGGCTGTAATCCAACAATATTGGGAGAGCCTTAAGTTCTCCATGTGGTGTGGCCACAGACTCAAGCAAGATCTTCTTACAGCAGTGGTGGATAAGCTGAGGCCTTCCAGATGTGTTGGATGACAATTTCCATCGTCCCAGCTAGCATCAGAAATACTAAGCGATCATGGGAGTTGTAGATGAAGTATCTGGAGGGCTCTGGCTTGCCTATTCTTGCACAAGATGGTGCAAATTGTTCTGGAGGATCCAAGCTAGTGAGTCTAGCTGACTAGTGACCTGCTGGAATGCAATCAGGCTGGGGAAGAATGTCTAAGCCCCAATAAGTCAAACTGTGAATAACACCCATCCTCTGGGAGTTGGGCTTCTTTCTCCTGCCACAAAATTAATTCTTCTAGGTACTTGTATCTGGGTTTATAATGGACCTCAAGGAGGGAGCCTTGAAAAATGTGTGACACTTCCCCCACCTCTGCCCTTTGCCACTACATGCTCCATGTATTTTCTTCCAGTGATTAGGTAAATTCTTGTGCTGTGTGGTAACACTCTTCTCATTTCTCTCCAGTTTGGGGGATAGTTTTCTATTTTTCCTTCACTAGAAGGGCAACATAATTTGTCAGACAAATTAAATAGAATGGGGAAATACATGTGTGTCAAAAATACTAGGGTCTAAAGAACGCTAAACTAAAAATAAGTAAAATGAACATTGTCATGGTACAAACTTACATTGAACAGCTGCTTTATGGGAAGGCTTCATTTAAAGACAGAGATTTATCTCATAGTGTTTTTTTTTTTTTCCTCTCCTGCTTTCATCTCTCCGAGGTTACAAGAAGGAAAGATAGGCAGGCAGATATAAGGAATTGGAGTCCTGTGACATTCTGTTAGGAAATCATAGTTATGTGGGATCAACAACAAAATGTGCTACAGCATGGAATGCTTTTGCTGAGGATTCCAACTGCATCTGCGGCCTGCCAGGATATTCCAATTCCCAGTTGTTCTTAACATGTTTCAAGAGTAGAGAAACTGGGGCCCCCAGATTTCGAGATGGAAGAGGCTCATCTCAAGACCACCCTCTCCATGTGTTCAGGCAGACCCTGAGAATGGCCACAGTCTGCAACTATCGGGAGGGGATGTGGAAGAGGAGCCAGAAGAGCCCTATATGATCTTTGACCCCATAATGTGACACTGGGAGAAAAGGACTAGCCAGTTGGAGGGGCATCCTGCAGCCAAGAGGCTGACCTATCTCCAGAGAGGCCCTCCCAGAGGGGTAGGGCCCAGGGGTACGCAAAAGGAAGGAAGGTTCTCGGAGGTAGTTTCAAGTGCGGATTCAACAAACTGGTCTGTGCACGCTCAGAGATTCTTTCTTTGCAGATTACAGTTTGCTGGATGCACATCGGAGAATAAAGAGCTTTTGCTAAAGAATGGTCTGTTGTTCTGAAAGGGTGAAGTGGGAAACCTAGCTCCCAACACCTGAACTTCTGCATATCAGGCATATAACCTGACAATTTGCAGAGGTTTCTGTTTTCTTTGTGGAGGAATTGCAGTATCCGTCACACAAAGGTGTTTTCCTCTTTGCCTTTCCATATTCTTTTCTGTATTCCATCACACAGTACAAGATGCACTGCAGTACAAAGCAGAACTGCAAAACAACAACATTTTGCTGTTTCCTGGGACATCCTTTCCTAGAAGTGTTTTTAGGATTGCCTGATCAGACCATTGCATTACCCACATTACATATTGGTAAGAATTTCACCAACTCTTTATTTGCAAGGTTTCACATTTGGTCCTCCTTTCTAAAATGGGCAATGCCGAAGCTAAACTCTCCTAAAGCCACATCTTCCAACCTGAAACCTTGAGCATGATTGCTTCAGGGTGAGGGGTAGGTTTTAGTTGTTCTGGACATGGTCAGGGACACTGTGGTTTTCCTTATTTTACTTTGTATGTAGGATCTGCTTCTGATCTTCAGGCATGATAGTGTTGCCATGAAACCAGACTACAAACAAGGCAAGTGAGCATTCCACAAAAGGGTGTTTTCATTCTAGAGTGTAATCTGGGGACTACCCCAGCCTTTAGGGAATCCCAAAGTCACAGGCAGAATGTCCCAGGAGATCCTGACCCCTCATTAGCAAGCTGGAAGGAACAGTGACTGGGAAGGCAAATATGCACGGAGAGGGCAAAAGGTTATTGCAGCTGCAGTTTCGCTGGGATGCGACCCAAGAGCAGAAAGCAAACCGATACCTGGGCTGCATGCCAGAGAAGGCCACACCTGCTCCTCCTGGTGGCAGAACAGGCACAGCACGCTCCCAGGAATAAAAGGTAAAAGCACAGAGGGGGAAAAAGTCTTCCTCTTAATCTTCAACCAGTGTGGACCCAGAAAAGCACTCTGTAGATCTTTCACAAGTGTGCAGATTTCCTTGCCTGCACAGTAGGGTGCTTGTCAGGCTCCAAATGCCCATGTCCTTGTGCACTGTCCCTCCCAGTCTTTCTCCAGGGTAGATTGAAGAGTGGCAGAGCTAACTGCTTGGCTTTAACTCATCACACTTGTAGTGCAACAGTCAGATGCCTCTTTAGAGCTATTTTGTTGTCCCTGCAGAGGTCCTCTGTTATTTTCAGACAGAGGGTAGTTTTGGTGCAGGTGCTAAGACATCCCAAGTCCTCCTGAGCCTCACAAGGGCCATGAATTTGTGCAACAGCGGCAGCTGGTTTATGCCCACTCAGACAACAGCCTCTTCGGTCCACTGTTGCTTGCCTGGACTGGCAGCAACTGTCCAGGGCTCTCCAGGAGACGTTTCAACAAACAGGTGCTATCTGGACCTTAGGAATATAAAAGGCAGCCCTGCACGGAGTCGCCCCGTGGTCCATTGAGCTCAGTATTGCCGAAACTCCCTGACGGCGGCACCTCTCCTGGGTGTCAGGTGGGGTTCGTTCCTAGCCCTAGTTGGAAATACCAGGGACCGAACCGGGGGCCTCCTACATGCAAAGTGGGGGCTCTACCCTGGAGCCATGGCCCCTCCAGGCAGAGATACCAGGGCTGAACCTGAGGCCTCATGCAGGGGAGCAAGCAGTCTGGCTGAGCTGTGGTTCTTCCCCAAGGAAAGGTGAACATCCATACTTTTTACAAAGAATATAAAATGACTGTGTGTAGTGTAAATACATCCAGAAGGTTGTTTCTGTACTAAGGACAAAATGGCAGAAACTGAATTTTTAACACCAGCTGATTATATTAAAGCCCCAAGAGCCCACCTGCGTACAGAAGATCCATCCCCACGCTGGGAAGGTTGGAGAAAATGGAGTTATTCTGCAGTTTGGGAAAAACAGGACAAAAGTTAATATTAAACCACCTTCACCTTCAACTATCAGCCAGTGGAATTTTATTGTACGAAAGTACACAGACACAGACTTCGTACACAGCAGTGCAGTACACAGAAGTCGGGCTGGCCAGACAAAGCTGCAGCAGATACCAGAGTAGTATCCGTCACATGAACATTTTTTTTAAATAGTAAATGTTTACATGGAATCCACACATTCACATAGTATAACACATACATCTAATCTACCAACAATTTCCAATGATGTACAATTGCAGCTCCAGTTCCTGCTGTGGAAAAACCAGTTATGTTTTTTGAAAACCCACTCCACAAAAACACGATGGTTGCCATATCAAGAGATGCACCTCAAGAACAAAAGAAGGGGCTTGCTTGTTAAAAATCTATTGAAGAGTATGTGCTTTGTGAAGAACCAAACACACACACAGTGCTCAATGTTACAGGTCTCATTTTCCTTTCTATAAACTTAACAGAATCCAGAGTATGGCTTTCCTGCCTTCCACTGGCCTTTGCAGCTCCCTGCAATCCCCCCACCAAAAAAAAATCTGCTCCTGAGATTGAGAAATCCCTAGGAATGGTGTGGGAAACTTCAGATGGAAGAGGGAATTGACAGAAATCACTCTTTATGTGAACAGAAGAGCAACTGGATGTCCAAACTACTGTATCTGTATGTTCCTGGGATGATCAGGTAACTGCAGAGTGCGCGATCCGGGTCAAGCATCCTGAGAAAAATCAACTTTTCCTAAAGGAATTTCTAGCTTTTAAAATACATGAGGGCACTGCTCAGTAAAATGTGAAGCAAAGAGAACAGAGCAGAACTTCCACCTGTTCCCCCAAACTCCTTACTTTCTAGCTTCCAAACATACAGCTTGTTCAACCTCTTACTACTCTGCCTAATGTTGCGTTTAGTTCTGGTCCATGCCCTCCTGTCTTCCATTACCTCCCATCCTTGTCCCAGAATCCACATATAACAAGAGGAAAGGCCTTCTTAGTGTTGGCACCAATTATAGAATACTCACACTCACCAGGAGCTAACACTGTCCTATCTTCAATGCCAGGTAAACACTGCCCTTGACTTCCAGGCATTTAATGGCACTGATTATAGTAGGCTTTAACATGATGATTTTTTTTTTTGGAAATTGTATTTACATAATACTGAGCTTACAGAATTCTGTTTTGAATTTTATATCCTGAAATTTACCGAATACTGCTTAAAATTTTGTATCTTGAAATTTATACTATACTTTATCCAAGGTTTTGAGAATTTCTGGGAAAGACCTAGAAAGATTTGGCTATTGAGTAGTTCAGATACAAAATAAGTACACTGCAATCCATCTGAAATGTGTGCCAGTGTGTTTTATGGGAATATTTTTGCTACGGGGTTTAGAAACATAAGGAGAGCCAGGCTGGATCAAGCCAAAGTCCTACCCTGTCCAGCATCTTGTTTACACAGTAACTAATCAGGTGCCCCTGAAAAGCTAACAAGCTGGATATAAGCAGTCCAGCATCTTCCTACATGAATACAAGCCTGATTTAGAAACATAGAAACAGTGAGTCAGAAGGGGTCTTTCAGGCCATCTAATCTGACCCCTGGCTCCAGCCGGCTCTGCTCATGAAACGCCTAACATTTGAACTTGCTCAAATCAGGGCAATTGAATGCATGGCTGGCTGGGGAGCTGGATGTCTTGTGCACGCAGCCTGTCAAATTTCAGGCATGCTCTTGGAAGGCTCCCTGTGCTGACTACACCAGTGATTCAGATTACAACGAAGAGGCTATTTATGAAATGGTTCAGCCTTCAGCTGCAACTCAATCATCCTGAGACCACAGGAAATTCCAATGGGGGAAGATTAGCCCAGAGGCGGATAGAGGCACCAGTCTACCCAGCAGTGGAAACAGGGAGGAACTAGAACCTGAGGGAGGGGACAATGAGATGAGAAGCCTCTCCCAACAGAGAAGCTCTGCCCCCTGAAATGGTAGGCCTGGTCACTCGTCCTCATCATCACTGGGGGTGGGGGGAAACCCAATCAGGTGCACAAAGGGAGGAGCAGAGGTGCACCTGCCTTCACAGCACCTCTCCCCAGGGGTGAGACACAGATGGGCTCATAAAGAGACCTTTGGGAAATGAATGGTAGAAAGGGTTCAACACTTCACTCTGTGGTAGTGCTCAGAGGTTCAAATGCCGCAATAAAGATCTTTAGCAAAGAAATGGTGTAGCTGATGAAACTGATACTGCTTGGAGGGGGAAGCTCAGCTCATGACACGGTTTCCTATCTAAACAATCACAAGACTGCACCCGTACCGAGAGCAGAACCAGATCATTTTATCTGCCAAGGCAGCCTTTCCCAACAGAGTTAATTCCCCAAGTTATGGGAATTGAGGCCGGAACATCTAGAGGGCATCAAGCTAGGCAAGGAGATGCTACCTGCTTCCAAATTAAGGGTATAATTTTATGTGTGGTTGAACAGATCCTCCCCCCAAAAATCCTCAGATTCCCAGCCAGCCATCTTGTTGTTATAACCCATGTTCTGTCTACACACACATAGGATCGCACCCAAAGGTCGTCTGTCTTGATCTCTCACCACTCCCAGCTGAAATCCCAAGAAGGTCGTTTTAGGAGGGGCATGTTGAAAATTTTATCCTTTTCCCCCAGAAATTTTCAAGTAGTGCTATAGCTTAAGAAGAGTAACATTTAAAGTAGGAAGGAATTTTTAACATTGTATATCTATGCACAAAACACCACTGTGCTCATCATATTTGCCTCCCACCTTTTTGCCAATGAGCTCAGGGTATTTTTCGTAGGAATATCCCATCCTGTATGAGCTTCCTGAATGGCCCAACGTTATCCAAGGCTGGGCAAAGATGTGAACCCAGGTCTTCTGAGTGTGGAGATGAGCGCTGCCCCCTTTAGCTGTTTCAGCTAATGGAGTAAAATCTGCAGGGACTCCTTTCCTTTCCTCCTGAGTGCAGCAGCCAGACTTTGTCCACTGGTTTTTCTTCTGCTCAGTCTCATGGGTGAGAGGAAAACACAGATGGTGGCACAAAGATTTTGAGAACAGGGTGAACCTAGCCTGCTGCTCAAGGAGACAGTCTCTCATAGACCCAGTTGTCCTCTCCTCTGTGGGTCATGGGCCCCAGGGGGACGCTGCTGTCCTGGAGACGCCGGAAGACAATGCGGTCATGCAAACGGTTTGTCTGGCCCTGCCAAAACTCGATGACCTCGGGCTTCAAGACGTACCCACCCCTGGGAAAGCAAGAACAGCTTCATCACAAGAACAGCACCAGCTAGCTTCAAGATGAGGCCCCTGAAAGCCTGGCTCTCTCACCAGCCATTTACTTATTTTATTAGATTTATATCCTGCTTTCCCTTCCACTAAACCAGAAGTGGCTTATAGCATTCTCCTCCTGTTGCACTCAATCTTATCCCCACAACAACAACCCTGTGAGGTAGGTTGGGCTGAGAGTCTGTGACTGGCCCAAAGCCACCCAGGTGGCTCCATGGCTGAGTAAAATTGAATTAATAACTATCTTTCATGTAGACACCTATCATTATTAATTGTTGTTCATTACATTTCTATACTGTCTATGGCTGAAACTCTCTGCGCAGTTCATGACATTAAGTCACCCATCCAGATTTCAACTAGGCTCAACTTTGCTTAACTTCCAAGATTAAGCAGGATCAGGCACTTCAGTCATGGCCTCTTGCTCTGAGAGCCTCTTACTTCTATATTGATTTAAAATTTTATATTGGCATTACTTGTATCAGTATATTGCTTTCAACCACCATCAATGCAAGTGACCACTTTGTTGAGGCAGAAAGCACAGTGTCTGCTGCTGCTTTGCATCCCAAAAGAAACTGTGAGAGACATTTGGTAAGGAGGTAGCCACAAAAGGTTTCTTTTCCAGTTTGATCTCAATATAGCAATGTCAGGTTGCCTGGAAATGTGTTGCTGGCACATTTTTCTCTTACTTTACTGACAGAGAAAAAAACCCTTATCTACAAAATTCCCAGCCAAAACAAAAAGTATAAGAACTTGTACTCAATCGCATTTTGCGTTCTCTCTCCCTTTATTAATTTTTCTCATGCAAGGACAAAATTTAGACTGTAAGCTCCTCAGACCCCATTTTTTTGCTTGCTGGTTTATGTTACTATGTAAATCCAGCCCTGGGCCCGGTGTGGATGGATCTCCAGGCCTCGCATTTTTGGCATGGGGAAAGGGTTATTCATCACTGCTTACTGCCTCCCACTCCAGCCTGTAAAGCCGACGAAAGGAACCTTGTACAATCCGAGCAAGGAGCCTACCAGGATGAGAATGCCTCCCTGCTGCCGCTGCCATACCAAACAAATTAACCCCCAGATCAATTGCCTGACCTACTGCTGGAATTCAAACCCCACACAGGTTTCAACTGAGATAATGCAGACCTTGACAGGGAAAAGGGTTCTCCACCTGAGACAAATAACTCTGAGAGCATAATAGTGTGTGGGCATAAGAGCGTAAATTTATCACCAGCTGAGCCTCACAAAGGCCACCTGAAAGTGTGCGGCAGATGCTAAATGGCACGAGAACCCTGTGATGGAAGGCCTCTCGCAGAGACAGCACCAGGAAGAGGAAGGGAAGAGCAGTCCAGTTATACAGAGGCAGGGCTGAGCAGAGCTGCTGCTGCTTCCTGGTCCTGCGCCCCAGGTTTGGCACACAGCGTTTGGGAAGCAGTCTTTGACGGGCCCTTGTGAGACCAGGCGCAGTCTCTCCAGATAGTTCGGAGGGCGTAGTGGTGAAGGCCTGGGGCATCACCATTAGGGAGGAAGCCTCTCTGTCAGCCTCTGGCAAGGGTATGATGCAGGTACCCATCTCAGAACAAAGGTGCTGCCTAACCATCCCTATTCCGCCAGAGGGTACGGGCAAGAGGAGCAAGAGACTCTTATACGCAGCCATGATGTGGATCAATTACTGCAAGTAGGTCAGCCAGCCCACCGACTGACCCCACTCGCTCTCTGCAAAGTGTGCAGTCAGGGAATCCAGTTGGGCCACAGAGATAGGCTCCTTAGCACATCACTTCCTTCATCTGTTTTCACTTTTTTCCTGGATTCCAAGAACCAGGCACATTTCTGAACCTCAAAAAACACAGAACTGAGATTTTTTGCCCAAACACAGAAAAAGGCCCATTCAGGCAATACCTACTGAAATCTTAGGAGACAGTGAGGTGGCCCTGTAAGAGCTGCAGTGATCAGAGTTGATCTGGGGGTTCCACCTCATGGCTACCAAAACTAGGATAAGAATAATACAAAAAGAGAATTGACAGGCTTATAAAAGTTAAGTTATGCATGCTTCACATAGCTTGCATTGGAGTGGTCCTCAGACTGCACAGACACTGAGTTTTGAGCTTCTCTCTGTAGCCTCTTCAAACACCACATAACCACAGTGGTGCAATTTCCCTTGTAACCTTGTTTTTTGTAAGCTGTCCAGAGACTTTAGTATTTGAGAGGATATAAAAACTTTAAATAAATAATTATAAAATAGAAGTGTCTGGGTGGTGCCATCAGTGGAAAGGGCATGCCAAATGCCAAAAATCCACATGAAGTTCCAACTCACCAATACGCTGGCTTTGGCACCTTGGCTTCTCGGTACACCTCTTCCAGCTCTGCATTCTTCTTCCTTAAGTACTAAAAAGGAAAAGAGCCTATGAAGGCCTCAGGTGAGCAGTTATAAACAAAGCAAACAAGACACATCATACCAGTTCCAAGATGTTATTATCACGTTAGAAATAAGCCTACAGAGGTTACTAGCCTGCAAAGGATTTTTACTAGCCCACAAATTTCCATGCTGGAAGGAAAATCTGGCCCTTAGATCCAGTATGGCTAGCAAGCTTGCAAAAACCAACGCCAAACAGAAAGGTGGTGCAGAATAGAGTTGATCATGCACCTGCATGGAATTCCTGATCATCTATGACAACCAGGTGTGTTGCTAAATATAAACCCTAACAGCACAGGTTTATCTGGGCATCTGAACAGGACTGTGCATATTCTGCATGTTGTGCGGATGGCTAACCCACGGAACTCATTAGTGTATAATTTAGTAGTCGAAGTAGTCAGCCTTGGTGGAATTGGTGCCACATTTTATCATGTATAAACAAAGCTTTCAGTGGTTGGTCACTAACCATTAGTGGGTGCTGGTAGGACTAGTCTAATTCCTCCTGTTCCAGTTTGTAACACGATAATTTATCTCCATATCAAAAATTGTTTCTATGTTCTTAAAATTGTAAACCATCTCAAGATTTTCCATGAAAATAGATGGTATAAAAATGTTTAAACAAACAAACAGATGTTTTTGAAACAGCTGTTAAAAATTAAGCTACACTAAAAACCTAGATACCACTGCCTATTTACTAGACCATGCCCACATTGCAGAGAATTGTTCATCTTTCTTCCAAAACACCACCTTTTACCCCAAGAAGCACTGGGACATGGTAGCTGTCCTTAAAAAAGGAAAAGAAACTCTTGATACCCTCTTACTGGACTTTTGCTACCATCTCTAATACTGTCCCAGGGAGTTCTCTTTGGCTGATTTCAGCCTTATCAGAATTAAGGGAAGCACAGCCGAGAACTCACTGGGATACCTCACATGAATTCACAGAGCCCAGCCAGGCACACGGTCAAACAGATTATCCTGGAGAAGGCGGGGATGGCAGTGTCGCCAAGAAAGGGGAACACCAAGGAATCAGCAGTGCCATTCCTTACCTCTCTATCTGCGATCACTGTACTTTGCTGACTCACAACTGCTCCAATCTGGCTGCCCTTTGGACGTGAGTGGAAGTACTGCTCAGACTTCTGTTCAGAAAGCCTCTCCACAGAGCCCTCAATCCGGACCTGTAAGAAGGAAACAGAGCAAAACAAAATACATATTCCAAGGTGCAAGAGGGAAGACCAGAATGAGAATATGCTTCAGTTAAGGCAGAGGTGTTGAGCCTCAGGTCCATGAAAAGAACCCAACTTTTCTGAGATCCCAATTGGACTCTGTGAGGTTCCCCACAGGATCACCCACTGCTTCCTCCACATTTCATGGTTTCCTACCTTTTGTGCCATTTCCCCCCTATTCCAAAAGACTGAATGCTTCTCCTAAGGCTTAGTTATTGGGCAGTAAGAACTTTAAGCTACAAAAGTTTGGCAATTTTGGTATTTTAATCATGGCCCATTTTGCCTTTGGCCCTGACCATCAATGGATTGTACCCTTCAACCTAAAATCTCCAAAACTGAATTTGGGTTGAAAGAGGTTCAGTGTACCTATGTCAAGGGTTTTTAAATGAAGATCTCCAAATATGACAGGTTTAAATAGAAATGACAGAAACGCCAACCAAACATAAATCAGAGCTTTTTAATGCTTCATTTATTATCACAACTCTTGTTTTTCTCATGGCCCACTTGCTCAGAGACGATGTTGTCCCTTCTGTGTATGGTTTCCTATTAAGAAACTCCTTTGCCACTCACATAAGACCAATACATAGAATATACGCTATCTGTACATGCGTAAGATGACAACGGAGGTTACATGGGGAATGGCTGCATAAACAGATGGGGCCTCACATGAGCCTAAAGCATGTCAGTGCATGTCTAATCACAGCACTCTCCAGAGAAAGTTCCCCTTTGCTAGATGTACTGCTGCAAAGAATGGCAAGGATGTTCTCAGGTGAAAAGCCTGCCACCGAAGAGACTCATCTGCAGGATTAAATGGGCCTACAAGGGAGAAGGGCCCAAATTATTTCAGGCATTATACACGGGCAACAAAACCTTAAAACTAGATTTGGCATCCTAAGGAATGCTACTTCTTGTGTATAAGTAACAAGATTAGAGGCAAAATCTAGCATCAACATTTCCTTCTCCTCTGCACCCAACCAGGAGACAAAGGCATACTTCTTTGACAGAATCAAACCTCAGCTTTCCCGACAGGATTTGTCAGAGGAAAGCAGCAAAATGCCTTGACCAAAGGAGGATTTAGGCTCTTTGTTTACTCAAGCCTTTGGCAGGGTTTGCAATGGGTGAACATCAACTGAGAAAACTGAAGAGAGGAGCAGCAATAACAATTCCCTGAAGCTCCTTTTACCATGTCAATCTGGGCCCCATACAAACTTCCAGTTTAACTACAGCAGGGACAGGCAGGTAGGCAAAAAGTAGGTCTCCAGATGTTTTGGACTTCATTTCCCAGCATTTCTGACCACTAGGTATGTGAGAAGGATCTTCTGGAAGCTCAAGTCCAAAACATCTGGAAAGTTTTTGCTCACCCCTACATTGTAGGAATCTCCCTCCCCTTCAGTGGAAGCAGAGAAGATAACTTACCTGGCGATGGAGGGGATCCCAGTAGAAAACCATTGAGGCAAATGGGTTCGAGTTCTGTGAAAGATGAGGGTAACACCAACAAACCTTTGAAAAACGACAACTAGGACTAATAGTTATTTTTTCTCACTCTGTTTACTATGAGTGTAACATAGGGATGTTCCCCCCCCTTAGTGTCTATCTCTTGGAGTCTTGAAAAGTCTGTTTGCAGCAGGAGGGGGCACCTGCTCCAGCAACCGAAGGATCAGGGAAGTTCTCTTTGGCCAGCTCAGGGGCGACCTGCTTGAGACGGCTTCCGTGGGAAGTCGATTGGCACATCAGGTTCCTTGGCACTAGCTTGCAGGAAGCAGTATGAGCAGTATACCCCCACATCCAGAGCCAAAAGGCAAGGGTGGCATCTTCCCACAGTCAAGAGTGCTGCTCGGGCCTACCCTCTGGCCAAAGTCCAGGGCCCTACAACCAGTTGATCAGACAGAGAACAGCTGGCAATGGGGCAGTGGCAAGCAGACCCAGTATCAGCACCTGGACCACTGCAGACACGCTGGGACCCACCGGATCTGGCACTGCTCCTCACAGCATCATTCTGTCCTTCAACATGTTATAGCCAGGAGGCAGCCAGGCATGCACAGGTATTAATTTCATTTCACTTGATTTTATTTAAAAAAAATAAAAGCATAAAATATTTAGTACCAAGGCAGGAAAAGTGAACTCCATGTTATTCCCGTAGGCATAATGGTGCTATGTTTAAGCAATGTTAAAGTATGAATTGGCACACAGAATAGTTATTTTCTATTAGGTTTGGCAAACAGTTGTTTTTTCTGCTCTAACATCAGGTACATAAAACTGGTTCTTCCAGGTAATTTAGGCTATAATTCTTAGCATTGCTGACTGTTGGCTAAGCGGGCTGAAATGGATGGGAAATAATTCAAATATGTCTGGAGGGCACCAGTTTGGGCAAGACTATTGTAAAGAACAAAATGCAGGAGAGGAGAAAAGAAAGATGTTAATTGTGGATTACGTCAGTTGTGAAGGACACAGTTGGTTCAGACAACAGAATAAGCTACACTCAGAGCTGAGAATGGGTTGAGTGCAGGTTGTTGTTGAAAAGTGGGTAATCATATCTGAACCCGAGATAACAAACCACAATGAACAAGCCACAGTTCATAACCCAACAAACCATGAATTCTTTTCATTGTTAACAAGCCATGATTTGTTACTGCAACTAGGTTCAGGCAACATGATAAGCCATGTTTCAGTAATAATTCAGAGCTCAACAATTCACACTCAACCCATACCTGACCCTTAAATGCAGGTTATTGTGTTGTGTGAATTCAATAACATCAACAACTAATAGTATGGAAACTGTCCCGAGGCTCATGTGAATGGGACGGCATACAAAATCTCCAGATAAATAAATAAATAAATAGATAGTCATGTAACTAAATCCCCCACTCAATCTCCTGGAAAACAATCAAGTTCAGGGTCTAAAATTACTTAAGTGCACTACCATCCATGTCTAACAGAACCAGAATTATGCAAATTAAGAAAATACTTGCAACTTTTCTTGATTTGTATAATTCGTCATTGCTTCCTTTTTGAATAAACCTAGATGGTAGGCAGCAACACAAGGACCCAATCTATGAAGGATCTCTGGTTCTCTCCAAGGATGGCACTCACCAATTCCTTTCCTTTCCGGCTTTCGTGGTTGGTAAAGAAATAAAAGCCTTCTTGGCTAAATTCCTTCAAAAGCAACATTCGAGCAGAAGGCCGCCCATCCCTGGGAAGGGAGAAATGCAGCTAATAGCTAAACAGGCAACACACACACACGAATGAAGGAAGCAGCAAAAATGAAAGTGACCAGACACAGGTTCCTACTTGGTACAGGTGGCCAAACACATGGCATTGACTTCCCCAATAGATGGGCACTTCATAGCTTCTTCAAACCATGCAGCAAACTGCTTAATGGGGTTCAGGGAGACAAGATGTTTTTCTTCAAAAGCCTGAGAAAAATAAAAAACTCTCACCAAAGGCACATATTAGTAACAAGATGGGATGCCTCCTCTTTATATCTTCTTGGACTTCTTCCAAAATTTCATAATTCCTCCATGCTCTTCCTTGGCATCAACTGAAACTCCTAATCATCATAGGACTTTCTCCTCTAATACACATGCATCAGCTTGTTCAGCAGCAACCAAACCTAATCTTAAATTTTATTTAAGTATCACTATATTGTGAGATTCTAATGAGTTCACTGCAAAGTTTGTTGCAAAAACATTTTTATTCATGCAGATATTCATTGTAATACTTTGGGTCATTTTGCTGGTTATTTTCCTATCATATGAATTCATTATATACCAACATGAAATCCAAAGTGATAGATGACTCATAAGCTTTAAAATAAATAATAAACAAGTCACATTTATTGTAACAGAACCTAAATATAATTATTGCGGATTGAATCGAACCCTTTATTTTCAATTCGAAATACTGAGAAGAGTGTTGAGAAAAGGGCTGCTTCTGACCTCAGGGGACAGGTAAGAATTCTATATGTGCTCAGAAGCACCAACTCCCTGGTGTTGACTAAGGGTAGGTGCCGAGACTAAGCTCTGGTTCACCTAACAACTTGTACTCTGCACAAACTCAGAAGCTCTCTCCCCCCTTCGTTTCCTTCCCATGCTAAGCCTCTACTGTGAGAAACGGGTTCTGGGTCTAAATAGTGCTCGCTCACCCCCTCGTCCTCTCCGTATTTCTTCCGAAGGGACCCCAAGTCCATGGCATAAAAGGTTCTTTGAACGTAGACTAAAGCGCGAAGAGCGAACGGATTAAAACTGCGCAGCGCCGCGCTCCCCGCAGCGCCAAGCATGAAGAACGCCTCGTCCCACGAAGCGCGCATGCGCCCAGTCGAACAGAGTAGGCGGAACCAAAAGGCGGATTCCTCTGCCTCCGCCTCATAAGCGACAGCTGGAAGAATTCCCAAACGCCCAATGGAGAAGCGTGACAAAAATCTCTTCGTTCGCCGCTTACCGCCTTTCTCCGTCCACAGCAAATCAAGAGAGGAAAACTTCAATCCGCCAATCAGAAGATGGAAGAGGGGGGGTTCTCTCTCCGTAAACCAATGGAAAGCGGCTTTCCTCCGTTACAAACCGTGGTTGGAAAGGGAGCGAATTTTGCGTGCGTCACCTGTGCGGTCAAAACGTCCCTTCTCGACCAATAAGAAAACGACCCAAGAATGCAAGGGATCGTAGAGATAGAAAAAAGGTAGATTAATATACATCATGATGGAAGAGATGAATTCCACGTTCGGAAAGACGACGTATACATATGTAGCATGGAAGGGGTACGCTTAGCACAATTACAAGGCTTAATTTATGCTTCTACTCGGTGTAGGGGCAGTGTTGGCTTTTACGCCGCTTTCCAGCATGACTGTCCCCGCTTCTCTTATTTCTCAGCTGATAGAGCAACTTGGTTTGTGCATTAGATTCCAAGGCGAGGTACCCGAAGTTCCCGTAGTCGAGGGCCAATGTAATGGGGTGGTTAGAAGGTTGGACTGCGGATACGGATGATCCGGGTTCTAAGTCTCCACGCCGCCATGAAGGTTACTGGGTGACCTTGGGCCAGTCACAGACTCTCAGCTTAACCTACCTTGCTAGGTTGTTGTTCTGAGGATTAAATGGAGCCATGGAAGCTGCCTTGGGTTCCTCACAAAAGGAGGAAGGCTGGATATAAATACTAAGTTGTGACAGTAACAACAACAGTAATATCATTAGTGTTTTCTTTTGGATAGTCTAAGGATACATAATAGGGTGGCCATGTGTCCTCTCTGCAGGGAATAAGCCTCTGTTTGAAGGCCTGGCTCATTTAAAATATAACCATTAGAAGGGAGAACTGGGCCTTGACGTGGCCCAAATCTGCAGACTGAGAAAAGCACACAGGGCACAGTCCTGGTGGGAACTACTGTATTTCCATTTAAATTATATTTTAATTTGCATTTCTGCATATAAATTAATGTGTGTGATTTCTGTTGATGGTGCATTTCCTGTTTTGGCCATTCATAAATGGTTGTGCTAGTGTATGACCAAACGGAACCTTACCTTCTGCTTTCCACCATCTTAGTAGTAGCCTCCCTAAAAGGAGTTTATATACTGATGTGGTGTGCTGTGATTAGGTGCAGACTTGTGCCAAATCCTATCATAAAGTTGAGTTTTGAAAGAAAGGGGTACCTCAGCACTTGGTTGTCCTGACATATAACCTGTATTGTGTATAAGAGGCTAAAGACAGAATATGAAGAAATGGAACCGTTTCCTACAGGTCAAGGCAGCAGAGAAGGGTGTATTTTATCAATCCTACCTGCTCAATCTGTACACAGAACATATCATATGGGAAACTGGATTTGGATCAGAGGGAACCAGTGAAAATTGCTGGAAGATACATCAATTATTTAAGATATGCAAATGATACTGTATTGCTGGCAGAAAGTATCCATTAATTGAAATGACTCCTTATCAAAGTGAAAGTAGAAAGTCCAGAAGCAGGACTGCTGCTGAACATTTTTTAAAAAATCATGACTTCAGAAGAATTACACAACTTTAGGGTCAGCAATAAAAAAAATGAAATTGTAAAAAAAATGTCCAACTTGGCTCAGTCATGCAAAGGGAAACTGTAGCCAAGAAATTCAAAGAAGACCAAGTCTTGGAAGGGCAGCAATGAAGGAACTAGAAAAATCAGAAAGTGTAGGGGTGTTTCACTGGAGGCCGAGGCCAAGGTCACCCACACTATTGTGTTCCTAATCAGTACATATGGGTGTGAAAGCTCGACCGTGAAGACAGCTAACAGGAAGCAAACCGATGTGTTTGAAACATGGTACTGGAGAAGAGCTTTGTGAATGCCCTGGACTTACAGAAAGATGACCAAGTGGGGTCCTAGAGCAAATCAAGCCAGAACTTGCCCTGGAAACAAAAATGGTGAAACTGAAACTCTCTGGGCACATCATGAGAAGGCAAGACTCACTGGAGAAGGCGATACAGAAAGTCAAAAGCAGCTGTAGAAGAAGACCAAGTATGAGATGGATTGATTGCATGAAGCAAGTCACAGAGCTGAGTTTACACCAGGTGAACAGGGCTGTGAAAGATGGGACATTTTGGAGGGCATTCATTCATAGGGTCACCGTAAGTCAGAGACAGCTTGATGACTCATAGCAACAACAGCAGAAACAAAGAAAACAGCAGAAATAAGAAGGTTACAAGTAGAAGCTGATGTCTGGACACGTACCCCTTGCCATAAAATACCATGAATATAGTAGGGCAATGTCACAATAAAAGCCTTTCTGAAAGCAGCTAAATACTATTGAGGGGTTGTGTGCTGCATTCTGCTGTTCATTCAGAACATACCCTTAATGCCTTAAGTATTCCAGTGTGGTGTAGTGGTTAAGAGCATGGGCCTGGGACTCAGACGACCTGGGTTCTAGTCCCCGCTCAGCCATGGAGCCAACTGGGTGACTTTGGGCCAGTCACAGACTCTCAGCCCAACCTACCTCACAGGGTTGTTGTTGTTGTGGGGATAAGATGGAGGAGGAGAATGATGTAAGCTGCCTTGAGCCCTTTGTAGGAAAAAGGCAGGATATAAATTGAAAAAATAAATAAATAAATAAAATATTCCGTTGTCAGTATATCCTGTAATGCCGATCTTCACTCCCATATCAACTTTCCCGTATGTGAACATTGTCTTCTGGGACTCAGCTTTGTGTGTGCCCTCTTCATCTGAAGTTTGGTGAGTGCCAGCATGAACTGGGGTCTTCTTTCCAGTGGCATCAGTGTTGTGAGACTCTCTCCTTAAAGGCTTTAACTATGTTCTTCTTTATTGACATCTTGACATACTTGGTGTTACTCTGATAAGTTCCTTTTCATGTTGCTGGTGTTCTAGTCAATTAGTCTTTACAAGCAAGTCAATAGTGATAAGAACACCAAACTGCCAGAATATTCATTAAAGTTGGATTCATATGATACACAAGTTGTATTTTTTCCAAAGTGTATGATGGGCTCACCCAAACATACCTAAAGTGCACACCTATCACTTTTTAATATTTTCCAGTAACACACACACTGTGGCTGCTTTTGGATTGCACTGAATCTTTATGTGCGTCACCAGAAAATCACATTGATCAGCAACTTTGTATGATACATTAAGTGGATTCCTTACATAACCTTTATCTCACACAGTACTGTTTATAGTATGCAATCAGAATAAAACAAACAGGTATGTAATACATAACAGGTTGAATGAACTAAACACCATAAAAACTAACAATGCCCAGGATTGAACTAGGTTGCTAAGGTAACAGTGACAAATCTTCCATTGTGACACTCCCCACTGTTGGCTCACCTATCAGATGGCCAAAGGTCTTCTCTGAGAGTAAGTGTTTGAAATGTATTGCTCTCAATTTTGTTAGCATTTTCCAATACTGCTATATAGGTATAAGTTGATCATATGCCAGCAGGCTAGGTAGTAACTTTGTTTTCTGATGTCTAAATGTTGCAACACTGGCAGACTCCATAAAATGCAAAGAAGAGCTTATCATTAACTGCTGTCATAAAATGCTCCAAAAAGCTGAACATCTATTTCTGTTCTTAGCTAAGTGCTCAACTCAAGGAGAATGGTTTGAATGACTGTGAAAGAAAAAAGAATCCTGGCCTAATTGCAGGCAACACACAGTTACTCAAAGCTCATGGTATAACGTGGGTTTTTTAGACATGGTCCTGATGCTGTACAGGGACTCTTCAATAAGAAGTGGTTATGTTCATTGAATTGTGGTGTTCATGTCAGATTATTTATTTTATTTTTTATTTATTTATTTTTTGATTTATATCTTGCCTTTTCCTACAAAGGGCTCAAGGCAGCTTACATCATTCTCCTCCATTTTATCCCCACAACAACCACCCTGTGAGGTAGGTTGGGCTGAGTCTATGACTGGCCCAAAGCCATCCAGTTGGCTCCATGGTTGAGTGGGGACTAGAACCCAGATTGTCTGAGTCCCAGTCCCATGCTCTTAACCACTACGCCACACTGCCACACTTATGCATGAGTGGAAAGAGAACCTGTATTTGCTGCCAAATTGTACAGATGCTGTATTAGTAGTTTGTTAAATCTAAATACATGGTTTTTTTCCTAGACTTTGCCCAGGTGACAATGAAGCCCTCTGCAAAATCCACTGGGAAAGAGCGAGACAGTGAGTGAGAGAGGAAAAGTGAGACAGAAAAAATAATACACAGTTTGGCGGTGTAAGCAGGATTTCTTAGTGGCATTTAAATTCAAGTTCAGTCCCTCTCCGGGACACTCAAATTGCACCCCCCACCACCACTTCCCCAGATTTATACTCAGAACATTATGACCATAATGAAAAAGGATTTTGATTATATATTACACAGTTTCAAACATATCTCCTGTCTATGCTTTTAAATATTGGCGTCTAGAGACATTTCGTCTCTATGGGGAGCCTCAATACATCCCATAACCTCCTAAAACTGGAGTCCTCCAGATATGTTGGACTGCAGCTCCCAACATTTTCAGCCAGCATGTACTCTTGACGCATATACTTGAAAAAGACCTTGTAGACAAAATGGAATTCCAGTGGTGACCCATGGTATACCTTGACCTAGTAATTTTTAAAAATGTAAAGACCTGTATGTATGGAATTTTGGTGGCTGTGATATTAAGCTTGAGAAAGCCCTTCTCGTGGTTTGGATTTGAATTACACTATGCTAATCACTGGCCACACTACTTGGGGCTGATGGGAATCAAGAGTTTAACATCTGGATGGCCACTTTGGCTCAGGGGACTGGTGGGTAGTGGATGTTGTTTTCTTAAACCCACAGCAGTTCCAGCTGCTAACAAATTTACCCCATATGTTGATCT